ATAAAAAAAAACAATAATAATACATAAAGGACCGAACGCCAATAACTCTATTAAGAAAATAAGTGAGTACTATTTGTTTATAAATAATAGACAACGCGAGTCGAAGAACACTTGTCTGTATATATATATATATATATATATATATATATATATATATATATATATATATATATATATATATATATTTCTCTTTTGGCTCGATAATTTATTCATGTACTTGAGCTTTATAAAATAAATTTTATAAATTGTATTAAACGCGCTTGAGTATATCCATATGCTTCCCCGTTATTGTTTATTTTATATATGACCGATTACGGATAGATATATACGAATACGTCCGATCGAATATCTCACGATCGCGGTATCGGGATCCCGGATTCAAATCTACGAAGATTTTGTTATTGACGCGCGAACGGGACGGGGTGCCCGAGAGCCTGACTGCCGCCCGAGTCAAAGGCCGCTCAGCTGTTGAAAGGCCTACGGACGGGATAAATTCGCCTCGCGCGAATTGTCACCTATCAATCAGTCAGAAAACTGAAACGTATATTTTGCAAAATATTCACCGCTGGCATAAATTAAGTAATTAACATATTAGTAAGAATACTGAGGTAAATCAACAGCTTGTAGTGTCACCATATTAATTTAGTAATTACTATATATTAATATGATGACCTTAAGCCCAAATTAATGCAGAGTAGAAACGGATGAATACGGAAAACCCTTGTATAAATATGTGACGAGATGGCCGGCTCGCTCTTTCTCTCTCTCCCGCGACTTGCTCCTTCGCTGTGGCCATGGCGAGCGTAATGGAAATCGAGAACCATTATCGATGCTCGCAACGCTTTATTTCAGGACCAATACCTGTGCCGGACATCGTCAGTGGGGACCAATTGGGAACTTGAGCAGCAGCGGCGAGAGAAGAGAGAGGAGTAGATGCGTCGCGTAAGAAGAGTAAGCGAGCGCGAACGACCCGCGGCAATCCGTTCGAGAGAGCGAAGCTGCCGGTGTTGCTCGAGCCGGCACGCACGTGGTTGGGGAGAAAGTTCGATCCGAGATTTTTATCAGTAAGGATCAACCGTGACGACCAAGAGCGCGCGCTAGAATATAGAGCGATCTGATTATATAAATCGCCAGGCAGAGACAAGCAGGGAACAAGACGACGCTGGGCAAACTATGGCAAGAAAAAACCTCAGATTGTCGCCTAGGGCATCAGGAAAACGTATCCAGTCTACCTTCGATCTGCCAGCCACCTCAACAACGGTTCCCGCCAACAGCATTCATCAGGTCAGGTCGTCTCTCTCTCTTTCTCTCTCTCTCTCTTCCTCTCTATCTCTCTCTCTCTTTCTCTCTATCTCTCTCTCTTTCTCTTTCTCTCTCTCTCTCGCTCCCTCTTCTGTCATTCGTGAGTGTGCAACATGTCGACGGAGTGCTCGCGATCATCCGCGAGCTCGGCAATAACGGCTAGGCTCTCCTTTAGTACCTCAGGGCTCCTAGGAACAATCAAATACGATTATTCTCCAAACGTGCATAGTAAGTGTTACAAATATAAATATTTATTACTCACATAATACACAGAAATAATATATTTATATTGAATGAAACATTTTTAAATGTAAAATACTTTTTTACTTTATGTATACTATGAAGTTTCATATGCTCCGGGTAGTTCCACCTGCTCATATTATTTTTACTTAATGTCGATGACATAATATGCAATGTAGAAGTTAATTAATAGTGTAAAAGGTGAGTAATAATAAATCATTCACGAAATACTGAAAATTTCACTGGAACGGATATGTTCAAATGAAATTTGGGGTGGCTGGGGGTAGTTGCGATGGTCATATTATTTTTACTAAATTTCGATAATCTTGACGCAGTACAAAACTTAATTAGTAATATAAAGAGTGTAAAAACAAATTTTTATGAGAAATTGAAATTTTCAGCAGAACGACTACGTTTATATGGACTTAGGTGCATGGTTGGGGGGTAGTTCTGCAAGAGCGGAAAATGGAAAATCGCTAAAGCTTAAGTGATATGCGTTTATAGTGATAAGCTTGGTTTTGAGAAGCCGGGCTTTTTGAAGTCAATAAGAGAATAGAGAAGAGTAGTAACAGAGAGTGATATCTGTAACCCCTTCAAGGCAATTAATGACCATTTCTGCGATTGCCGGTATCCGTGGTTACTCTTTCCATCCATTCAGCCTCTTGAAAGCAATTTGCGCCTGATCATCATAACCTTTCCATAACAAGTGAGTACTTTATTTAGGCATGTGTGTATGAATGTGAAATTATTACAGATTCATATAGCGTACTATTGTTCCGCGAATCGGTTTCTCTCTCTCTCTCTCTCTCTCTCTCTCTCTCTCTCTCTCTCTCTCTCTCTCTCTCTCTCTCTCTCTCTCGCTCTCGAACGCGTAAGTGTGAATGTGAGAAAGCGAAACATAAATCTCTAGGCTATTACGTTACTGTACGAGAGATGTTAGAATATACATCACCAGCTTACTAATCAAGTCGCTTTATTTGTCATTTCTAACGATACATGCAACTAACCTTTAACAGTATATTGCACGCGACTGAATCAAAACATTCAGCAATTAAACCAACTGCCGCAACACCAAGAATTAAGTCGGCGGTTATCCTTATACCGAATAGAAGCTAATGTCGAGAAAATTAATTAAATGTCTTCCTCGTGACAACATATAAAATTAAAGTTATATTTATTAATTTAAAAATTATTAAATTTTAAAAAATAACAGCATACTTTGCAATCAATAATTATTATGTTATGAAACAAGTATTTCTCTATCAATATCAAAATTAATTAAAAATTATGAACAGTCTAGTCAAATTGTTACAATATTCAAAAGAAGTGCTAGTTGTAACTTTCAATAAAGTATCTCATTCTATGAAAGTTTTACAATGTATAAATAAAACTTACTGTAAATTAAGATCAGAAAAGTGTTAACAAGCAGTGAAACAGATCTGAAATAATAGATTTTTCTAACCAAAATACTGTTATCATTTCAATTTAGTTTGAACAAAGAAATAGTGGCTTTAAACATGATGTAAATAATATATTTTGTAACAACTAACTATATTTTGAATTTGAAACAAATAATTGTAAATAATAGAAAAATGGAAGATAACATTTACTTTCATCAAAACAATACATAGTATCCAAAAGTCCTGGGACCGTGCGAAAACTCAAACAGATCCCCTTATCAGGAAAAAAATTTTAGATAAAGTTTATAGTTTCTTCATTCACGAACTTGATGGTGACTCTGCTTTGAACTTCAAGATCGAAATCGAATTTATCATAAAATGTACCCTTTAGAGTCCAGCAAATTTCGTTTGAAATATTTTTTGCTAAACCATATTATTATGAAGGATCATTTTATTATAAAAATCAAAAAGGTAACAATGAAATACACATGACTTTGAAAATTATTTGGAGAGAGCTTTCCTAGGCTCCATACATGGTAGATTATCTAAAAGTAAAATTTTCCACTGATTCTGATTTGGGGTTGAAAGTAGGTATTAAAAAAATCAATTTATTGACTATTTAAAAATCAAAAGATGACCTTGAAATGACCTTGAAAAATATCTTCAAGGTCAAAAGCAGGCTCACCAGCAGGTTCGTCAATGAGAAAATTACAAAGTTTATCTAAAACTTAATTCCTGATACGGTGTTCTATTTGTGTTTTTGGATTGTTCAGGACCTTTTGGAATGCTTTGTATATTAAAATATTATTTTACAGAAAATGTTAGATTAGATAATTCAATATTAATTTATATAAATTATATTATATTAATCTATTAAATTATATAAAACACTATAATCTTAGATGGTTTCAATTTAAAACTCAAATTGTAAACTATTGATATCTACTGTTATATGTATTGATTGATATCTGAGTTAATAATTTCAATTATATTATTCTTACATGCAAGTTGAAAGCTATTTTATAGATATAATTGATGACTGTAAATTTTTTAATGGCTTTAATACAGAAATTCATGATATTTTTAATGAATGACATTTATAATTAAATACTGATAATAGAATCTATGAATCAATATTTATTACTTTTTTTCTTTCTTCTTGGTTTTCAATTTTTCTGTAAGGGTATTAAAAAATAAATTATATCTTTGAACACCGAATTTATCGAATTCTTAGTCTGTAGTAAATTAAAAGTTCAAAAAATGAAAAAATACTAATACTGATCTACAATTTAGTAAAAGTACAAATTTAATATTTAATTTATTGTTTTTGAGATTTGGTGATCTCTTTTAACTTGTATTTTTTGTTATATAAAATGACTGTTCCTATTACAGACAATTTACAACATGAATGCACTAATAATCATTAATATAAGATGCACAAGGATTTATAAGGCTAGCTCCGATTAATAAAAGTAATATCATATTTTTGTAATAGCACAATTTTGAAAGTTTACACAATATGACAAAAGAAAGTCCCTTTATTCCCTCTCTTGCTATTTGTTTAATGACCGGTAAATGGTTATAAAAAATTTAAATATATATGTATTATCATGAAAATGAATTCAATATTTTTACTTATCGATTGTAGTTTAATTTATGAATATATTAATTAGCTTATTGTAGTTTATTATATAAGAATTCTCTTTAAAATAGAAGATTATTTTTAAATTATAAAATGTAGAAGTAAAAAATCTATATAATGTACAATTTTTATAATAACCAAAGCTAGCTTAAAAAATAAAGTTAATTAATGCATTACCTATTTTATTTTAGTATTTGCATTAGCAAAAATCTGAATTTTGAAAACTGATTGCTAAATCAATCATTTTCTTCATTCGTACCACAACTTTCCTTTATTTAAAAATCTTGAGTTCAAGTGATCACAGCCTATATTAATGTTTTAGTAATAGACAATTAAAAATTTGAAAGGGATGCTTTTATGATGAAATACCTTTATATAAAGGAAGCTAGTCATTGAGAGTGTTAAAAATGCTTTACCTGTATTCAACAATAGGTAGATTTTTTATTTGGCTTCTTCCATTAACCACTATCAAATTTTGATATTTTGAAGGCTTTTAAGATCCAAGTAAGAATCTTAATCATTTTGAAATAGCTTAGAATACTTAAATTATCAAATATATATTTATAAATTATGACCCATATATTAAAAAATTTTATTTAAAACATCGATATAACATATTATATATATTTATTTATTAATTCAAATAGTTCAGATTCAGATCAATCAAATCGCTGTTTTGTGTGATTATATTCCCCTGCCCCTAATAAGATCGACTAAGACCTTGGAAGTTCATAACAAATTTAATATTTCAGCCATTTTGTTAATTAAATAATTAATGTAATCAATATTGCGTAAACTATAAACCATTTAGTTTGGAAAATGATATTTAATCGTTGAAAATTGTTGGAAGTAAAGTCAATTTCAATTTAGAGACCAATCACTGAGTTATTTATCCAAACAAAACGGAATTTGCTTGAATTTGTTAAGTTGATAAGATAGCACCCAGAATTAGCTCTTTAAAAATAATCGTTAAGCTAATTATGCCATTAAATAGTTCATCAAAAAAGCAATTATATTTATTATTTGCTAGTTCGTTCTTGAAAAACACTTTGAAAAAAATAAAATAAGTCTCGGATCGAGCACCCAGATCGGAGTTCCCGTAAAATATAGAAAAATTTGTTTATATAAGAATTATTCATAAAGCAATCGTTAGTTCGTAAGGTGAACTAATAGTATCCAAGATGAAATCAAGAATAGATCTATTATTGAAGTAAATAAAAATAAAAAAATGTTTCAATCTATGGCTACTTACACAGGCACACAAAATAAAAAAGTTAGTTGTTCCCGAAAACGGAATGGTATATATTTATGTTTTTTGGGTCGCCTAATCCAAATCCGCTGACCTTTTCTTTCCATCACGTCAGAGTCAAGGTCAATTGAAGGTCGGATTGTGAAAATAAGCTTCTCATTAGTAGATACTATATTTACATGTTTTTTGGGTCGCTAAATCTGATTCCGAGGCCCGCTTGATCCTATCTTATCAGAGTCAAGGTCAAATGAAGGTCAAACGGGTTATTGATTGATGAATTTCATTTTTAACCACGGATTTGGAAAGAGCAAGAAATTCCACATCGAAATATGTATCTATACATTTTCTTTCTCAACCTCTCGAGGTCATACAGAGGTCAAAGTGTTCTCTAATCAGCACAATCATAGTCCCTACTTTAATAAATAGTATTAATACTTTTTGCACTTTGCTATATATTCCGCAATCTTAAGAATAAGACTCAGAATAAGATGATTTCGTACAATACTTTAAACTGATTGTTCTCTATGGCGCCTCAAAATCCAGAGCGAAATAATAGTTTCCTTAAAAGTAAATATTTCTTAAATATAACTAAAGATTCGTAAAAATTACTTACAATTCAAATCAATTTTCCCGGGAACAAAGCAATGTCTAGCAAAGTTACTGCACTGAATGACACTACGTAAAGTATTATTATTTGGTTTCAGGCTAAACGTATAACTTTAGGTGCTAATGCTTCTTTGAAAAAGCTTTCAATATCTTTTATTTCGTAGCTACCAGTCGGTAAAGTGATAGCTTCTTGACCTTCAATGTAAAAGTTATTATAACCAACGTCAATGTTTGGTATTGAATTAAATGTTAATAGCTTAACTAGACCAAGAACGTATTTTTTGTTTGGTATCAATTCGATCGGTGGAAAATAATATGAATCGAGTACGGATGATGTTCCCGAGAGACTCAATGTCAGTGTATTCTCCATGACAGATTCATATCAAATGATAGTCATTTTTTAATTAATGAGTATTTATTATACTAATCGTCTCTTCTATAGTTTGTTCAAAAGAAATTTGAGACAATGATGGCCGTAGTTGTACGTATTAAAATCTTGATATCTAATATAATAATTCACGATTTTATTAATTTTGAGATAAAGCAATAGATCTATAGGCGGTTGTAGATTACCAAAACTATCAAAATACATAACCTCATCACCTTTTTTTTTATATACTACCCAATGAGTACCTGATCCACGTTAATTATCTAAATTTACAATAGCTGTATCTTGATATCGCGGTCCATCGCATGGTAGAGAATCACGCATGAAAACACTTCGAAAATTTGCGATTTTTAGTATTTTAGCATATTTTCTTATATCATGATCTGTCAGTGCTCAATTAGGTAAAGTTACTTCGAGCTTTTTTTTTTAAACCTTTTCCAGTTCAATATGGTTTCAGATGAAGGCCATAACCTTTACGATGTGGTTTCAAATAAAGTCCTTTACCAATAGCAATAGCTTCCATAGTTTTATTGTGTCTATGAACTTCTTGCAATTGATTATGAGAGGCCTTAGCACCGTTAACGGCTTTTGCTATTGAAGCAGCTCCTCCAACTAGAGCTCCAGTGGCGCTCAAAGCGGCAAATAATGGAATTAAAAAAGGAAGAGATCCACCCACTTTACTCGGAATAGGTAGAATACGAGGCATATTTATTTTTCTTCTTCCTCCAGCCTTCTTCACAGCTTCTTTAGCGCCTTTATTCGTCGAACGAATCACGAAAAGTGATTTATTACTAGGTACAATACTTCTCGAGGCAGCGTTAATAATTTTTTTCATTGCAATTGATAGATTTTTACTTTTTACATGTGTCTTTCGTCGCTGTCGATGTTGTTGTTATTGTTGTTGTTGTTGACGATTTTTTAATCCCTGGCCTCGTTTCTTTCCTCGTTTTAAAATTTTAACATCCATACAAAGTTTACTTTTAACTTTCATTATGTTGGCTACAACAAACGCAGCGACTTTCTCGCCAAAACTACTATATTTCGCTTGCACTCTATCCCAGGCCTGTTTAGATAGAATTTTGTCGGCTTCGTTTCTCACCTCAATGTTCTTTCGATTCTGAGAATAAGCAATATCGTGATCTTTACAAGCAGCGTCTAGCGGATTTTTTCAAGGATCACCACGAGCAAGTCATTTTTTCAATTTAGTTTCCGGTCTGCAATACTGATAACGAGGCAAATGAGCTTTGAATGGTAAGTTATTAATGATCTTATTCACTAACCCAGCACCACCAGTCTTACTTTTGTGACAAATGATCATACCTCATCAAAAGACAAAGTCTTAATGAAACTAAAAACTATACGAACAGTCTTTATATATTTAGTAGTCTCATTCGTCGTTCGATCGGTGACTAGAAAACAATATGGACTTCAAAGAGCAACCAGTTAAGTTGCAAGTTATAAATTTTGATAGTGTGGTTGAAATGGTAAAACCAGAAAAAAGTCATGGCGCACTACTACCTGACAGTATACGACCAGTTTTCCGTGGTCCTAGACTGTGGGAAAACTGCTTGCTAACACTAATCACACATTCTAATGGACTTAGATTCGAAAATGTTTATGTTTATTCAAAGTTCCTCAATCAACAAAAGTATAAGTTTTTTAAGATTTATTGGAACCGATTGATGGTATACAGTATCATGCATTCAGCGAGCATGAGACAGTTGTTTCACCAGATAAAGCTCATCCAAATGCCATCATGAATTTGATGATATAGCCACTAAAAAGCAGGACAACGTGAGAGCATTCTTCTGTATGGGAAGACATAAAAAAGTAGATAGTTTCTATCTCTGTTAATCATACGCTCGCATACCGAAGCATCTCATTCGGGATAATGTGAATTTACTAGTTTTGTTTCGACAAGATGACGTAAATATTAAACATATTTACAACGATCATGTTAACTCAGATATGACTTTTGAGAAGTTTAAAGCAATTTGTTCAAAATGTTGGAGAGACGATAATCATGGATTTATAGTTATTGATAGAGATAGACCAATCAATCATGGATGGTATAGAAAAGAATTTGATTCTTTTGCTATAAATATAGCGGAGTGAACGAATGAAGATTATTTAACTTTAGAAATTACAAGCGTCAACATGGCTAATTTTGAAAAAGAAAAGAAGATGCTCGAGCAATTATCTGAGGCTTGTGATACCATCAGACGTAAGTATCAACTAATAAAACGTGACAAAGCTGATTTAGAAAATACATTGAATGAAACTTTTAAACCTATGGTTGATCCATTGAAGAAACTTGTGGAGGTAGCTATTGATAAAACTAACGATAATACTGAACAGGAAACGAACAAGGAGAAGAAAATTACGTTCGATAAACTTTTCAAGTCAAAAACAACAGCTAACACTCTCTATAAATCTCGATATTTCAATAGTACTGTTAATATTGAATGTCAATACATGTTGCTGTCAATACATCCGCTTGATTCTACATTTGAATCCGCTATATCTATTGCTGATGCTACTGATGATGGTGATGAAGACGAATTTAGTAAGACTAGTGAATCAACACTTGATAGAAATGCAATAAATTTAGACAATGTTAGTTCAAATGTAACTACAAAACAACAAAAACAGCTGTTGGATGACTCGATTGTAGGAAACTACATTCGACTATTGCATGAACCGCAACAGAAAAGTAATTTAGACAAGACATTTGGCGTTCGCTTGCATGAAAATACATATGTCATAGGCAATTCTCCAATTTCTTTCCAAAATGATAATGTGACTGTGAATGACAAAGCATTCAGCAAGACGCCCGGATTAATGGAACTTCTTTTTCGTAAAGAACCTAATTCTAAATTAATCAGTTCATCGGATATTGAAAATTATATAAAAATTCTTGAAATCACTAACACTCATCGTAAGAGATATGAAAGAAATGGGGAATATCGCGATAAGCGTGTAAATAAATTCAAAAAGTATATTGGTCCAAATTTATCTTTAAGTGGTAATGCTAAGAAGCGAAAATTGACTATTGATGGAAAAGGTCTTTTTCCTAACTATAAAATAGCAAGAAAAGGAACATTATTTGATTATGTATATTGGGATGATCCAAACGAGCTCGTTGATCGGTTGAGATTGTTTATCGCCGAACAAACCGCTGGTAATCCCAGTCATATTAACCCATTAAGGACGGGACGGACACTTTTTCGTATCCAACTTCAAGCTACCACCAAGCCAATAATTTAATTGAAAATAATTCGCGAACCACCGTTTCCTATGTTTTTAAGTATGTTCTTTCCGATTATCACACTTAATTTTTTCTAAAATGAGTTTTTTCATGTACAATTTGAAAATTAAAAAAAAAGCACTGATTTTTTGGAAAAAAAAATTTTTGTGATCGAAATTTGTTTGCCTTTCGATTTTTTTATGGGCCATTTTGAAAAAACCAAAAATAGTCTCCAAAAATCTAAAAAAATTCAGACGTGTTCCTTGACTGATTCTAAACATTTTTTGTTCTTATAAACTTTTCATGAAAGTCGATAGTTTTCGAGATAAAAATCGGTGAAGTTAGTGAATAAAATTTTTGTTTATTTACGCAAATTTATTAAAAAATATATATATTTGGGTTTTCGTAGG